TTCAAAAGTAGAACCCACTCCAAGACTGAGAAAGGCTTGATATATGACAAGGGTGTACCAAAAACTCAGAGAGAGGAAAGAGGCAATGAACTAAAGAACTCATAGTTCACAAAAGGGGTGGTGACTTATTTCATCAAAACTTTAGGGCAAGATCTCTTAAGGATGTGCCTTTGAATGGTATTACTATGTATGGTTCCTTGGTTTAGGAACCAATGGTAGTCCTATGGTTTAGGAACACTACATACAATCCAACACTAGAAATTTCACAACATATACATTAACTTTTAAGCTTTGAGAAGTCTTGCTGGAAACAACCGTATTTCACTTTAACATGGTATTCCTCAAACATTTGACCACAGAATCCATTTTCTACTTCATACCCAAAAATATATTAATGATTTAGTATTCTGTCATCCATGGAACCTCTAAACATCTAAACTGTCATTAATATGCAAACAAAATTTTGATTCATTTTATTGTTTGAAACTCTAAACTGCAAAGTAATCTGGAGGATGAGGAAAGCAATGTTTGTTTGGAAACCAAATTGAGTAGATCAACAAAACCAGGGGGAATTGGGTGCTATCTCTTGCAGAGTGCGGAGTCTCCATTTTTGGAATAAAACCCAGTGTGAAAAACATGGGTCCCCACGAAATTGGGGAAGAGAAAAAGTCAGCAAACATCCTACCTGTCTACAAAGCCACAGTGGATGGATAGGCCACAGTGGATGGCAATGACACAGAACTGGATCGTGACAAGACTTTTTCAACTATCTCTATACAGAAAGGTAAGTTTGTGAAAAGCACAGGTGGCACCAGGCAGAAGACTCTACCTGTAGAAAATGTTGTGTATGAGATGTTGAGTACTGAGCATTATGAGCTCTCTAAAAAGAAGCATTTAACAGGAAGTTAACATTTACAAAAATTATCAGTAGAAATTCTGGTCATCTTTGCCTCACTTATTTCTGTTCCACATAAGCTCTGTGGCCAAAAGAGACCTTGCAGAAAGCCATTTATAACCACAGCCGCTTAAAACAAGAGTCACTCAGGCTCTATCACCATGCTCAGCAGAGTAGCCAGAGGTGCCGTGACGCATCATAAAACCAGCAGGCCCCAGAAGAAAAGCCTTAGTGCTCGATGTCACTGCTCTCCAGGGAGAAGAATGTATGTAAGGAATGCACCAGCCTCTGCACAGAAAACCCCTTTTCACAGCTGTGTCAATTTTCCTTTACTGTTGTCAGCACTAAAAAGATCCAGACAGCCATTCTCTCCATGAATGACAGTTCAGACTTCAGGCTTTTTAAAAAGGTAAGAATAAGATCCCTGCAGATGTAGAACTCTTGAGCCTGATGTAGTATAACCAAAGACTAGGCTACCACCATAAGTGCAAGTGACTATAGCCTCCATGCAATACACAGATTCGTATTTGCCATCTACTACCTGAAACAGTCTGAAAAGTCTACATCAAGATAAAAACATGACAAAAATAGCCTATATTTGGTTAGAATTAGTCTTACTACCCCAATACAAATATTTAAAGATGTAATAGAATCACAACATTTAAACATGGGTGTAACAAGCATCAAAAGATTTACTCTTTCTGGGAAGTAGCCTGCCTAAAAATTTGCAATGGCTTCTGACACAGGAGTCTGGTTTTCCACCCTGGTGTACTACTGTGTTTATTTGTAATTGCATAGCATCACATAATTCTCTACCAGGGGCATGCCAGACAGAATGGTAGGTTTCAGGTTTAAAATTAAATATGCTATGCCCCTTTAAAACTCAATGATTCTGTCCTCTTTTGACAGATGAGGAACGTAAAATTCTAAGAGACTCGTTAGTGACGTGGCCAGTGGCAGAAACAAGAAGAAAACTACACCTCCTTTTTTTCTCTATCGGGGCTTTTCCTGGTTGATATTTTCCAGTCTTGTCCTAAAGAAGTTGAAACAAAAGTAAGTGCTGGGCTGCTCCCAAATGGGGTCTCCAAATGCCAGAAGATGAAGATGAACACAAGAGTTTGTGAATTTAGGCATCTTTTGATCAAAACTACAGTCAGACTAAAGTTGCTTTCCCTTCAAGAGGGGACACATGTCAAGCTCAGGAGTGCTTACTGGAAGCTCAGTCTAGCATCCACCACACTAGCTCAAGGACATCTCTGCTACCAATTTATAAGTGTGTGCACCAAGCTTTATGAGTGTCTGAGGGAAGACAGTGCCCAATGCACCCCAGCAGCTGGCATTCATTAACAGGTATGGCTATTTTTTCCTTTCCCTGATAGACCCACAGGTCAAAAGATTTTACACACATTCTAAAATGAATGACATGTGTGAAACACACAGCTCTCCAGAGAAGTATCTTAACATAGCTTTCTGCAAGACTGTCTGTCAACTGGACAGAACTGTTCCATTAACTCCACAACAAGATCAGACCCATTCTGGGTCACATGACCTTTAGTTAGCAAGCTGGGGAGTGAATCTGGAGAACATTATTGATCACTGCTTTAAAAAAAAAAAAAGGCCATGCCAAGAAAACCATTACAGAACAACTCTTGGGAAGCTGGGGTGGCTTAATTTGGGAGAAGTGAGGTTTGAGGTTGTGGCCTCAGGCTTGTTTTGTGAATTTAGGGACAAGTGTCTTCAACAAAGTGACAGCCACAAGTTAAATTTAAACATAAAGAATATATCTTAGGTCATATATTTCTGGCTGTTTAGAGGAACTATTCGTTCCAAAGCAAAATGGACCTCCTAAACCTAGAAATCAAACCCTGCACCACTCAAATCCCCCCAGTGTCTTTAGGATGCTTCTCTTAGCGCATATTGAGCTAATTTACTGTCATGAAAATTTGGTGACTTTTCATTTTTAACATTTTAATTCTCAAAGCCACCTCCCCCAAAATGTTCTGAGAAAAGATGACTATATAACCTTAAGGTTTTATATTAGGGCATAATAATAAAATGCATTATCCCCAAAGCAGTTATTTATTATCAAGCTCATAATTCATTAAACTTATTTTTAGAACTGAAATAATTAAATCTTCCTTAAAATATTTTTGTACAACCTCTTAGAATTACACATACCAAAGAAAGGTCTGATATTTCAAACTACATTTGAAAAATCAAACAAAAGTGCTAGTACATTTTCTTCTGGACTTATTTTTAATGAACCAGAAAGTGGTCTCCTTACAACTACAACAAAATGAAAACTTATTTGAATCTTTAGTAGCCAAAGTCATATTCCTCTTCTTAAAGGAAGATATAAACTATTTATTCTTATAAAAGCCAGATACCTAAATGTCTCAAGGCAAGTGTCCACCAGTCCAAGTCTTGGTATGGCACTGAATAGGCTGGCATGGAAGTATGTTACCCTATTTAGCTTCCATTACAGTCTTTTTACCATCTCAAGGGCTATTAAATGACTTAAAACAGATGTTTGGGTTCCATTAGGGCCTGCTTTTGCCTGGGAAAGCTGAGAAGCTTTAGCATCACAACACTCTTGACATTCCCCTTTCTATAACTACCCGGGAGCTGGACTGAGCTCACCATGGGAGACCCTTGTAATTCTTTCACCAGGGCAGAGGGTTAAAGAAGGCTCAGGATTTTATGGCTATGAATTCCACTTTTATACTTTTTAAAGAAGGGTATAAGTAACTTGCTGAGATTTAAAAATTTTAAAAGGAGCTGGAGCACAGAAGAGCCCTTTGACTATGGGAGGGTCTGGGGGGTGCAGACCTATTATCAGAAGACCCCACTGTTGACTTTACTTCTTGAGGAGAGTTGCAGGGCAGGCTTGTGTAACCACCACTCTGACTTCAGTTCAGAGCACCTCCTATTTTTTAACACTTAGAGAAAATTAGCAAGAAATATTATGGTTCAAGTCATTCAAGAAATATAGATTGTGGATCTAGCTGTATGATCTTGGGGCAAATAATCCAACCTCTCTGGATTCTTTGCCTAGTCATTTGTCAGTCAGTACGTTTACCTAATTACATTGTAGATATTTCAGCCACTACACTTCTACAAAGCACTTTCACATACTTCATTGCCTTTGATTCTTGCAATGACCCTGTGAAGTAACAGGGACTATTATCCTCATTTTATAAAACTAGAAATTGAGACTCAGAGGTTAAGTGATATACTCCAGAGAATAGAAGTGGGGCTGAATCATAAACTCCTGATTCCCAATCAAAGGCTACATCGTATTGTCTGAACCTTCTGGTTCCAACAGTATTAAGACGCCACAACTTAGAAAATGTCTGTTATCATTCACAATTCACGCACTGTTTGAAACCTGACAGTATTAATGGGCCAAGAAGCACACGTAAGTGCTCCCTTTAACAAACTTCTGTTTTCAATTTAATTCTTTTAAATGTTTTAAGTGAATTTTAAATGTTTAGATGCCAAGCATTAACAATTAATAAAGACGCTTAGTACTATGGTGAAGAATCTAACAGAATCTTACTTCTGGTGGAAAAATGCATATAAAAGAGTTCAGAGTAAATATTGTACAGTTAAATTAGAAGCAAATCATTACTTTACTGGGAAAAAAAAGATGAAGGACTCTTAACACCAAAGACTGAAAAAGTAATGTTGGACCTGAGAGTTTTTCTAAAAAGTTGATATGTTGGGCTCCTTAACCTTGACATTTGGGACCCAAGTTCCCCCTCCTTGCCTCTAGCCTCATCCATCCAGGAAGTAGGCAGAGGTCAGCAAGGATGACTGCCCATAAAGAAGAATGAAATCTCAGAAAGAGTAAAAATGTGTTTCTTTTCCTGGCAGTAAAATTTTTGAGCTGTTAGCAAATTGTGGGGAGGGGCACTGATAGCCCTGTTTACTTTGTAGGTATGTTACACAACTCGCAGATGAACTGACTGGGAGCCATGAAATTGTGCAGCACTGTTCCATGGGTCTCAATTTTCCAATGTGGATTAAAGTGCAAAGTAAGAGACAGATTCCCCTCTAGGTATCCCCACCTTGTTATTGTTATGCCATAGCAATGGGCACTGACCTGCTTTGCCCACTTCCCCTTTCCTCAGTGATCCTTCAGCCTGGAACCCAGCTCTGAGATGAGGCCTGCTTAGCACCAGTGAAGCTCCCCACGTTCAAACCAACAACGTTCTGTGTGGAGATGAGGGAATCAAAGTTAAAATCCAACCCATCAGCATCCATGAGTTCGCTACGAATAATGGACTCCATGTCACATTCCAAGCTCCCATTGAACATGTCCAGGTCCAAGTCGCTGGGGAACTTCTCATGGCCCATGACAGGAAGGTTTGCACTAGTTGAGTACAAGGAGGAGCCTGAGAGAGAGTCCGAGAGGGTTTGCATAGACTGGCTGACAGGAGACTGCTGCTGGTGTTTGGCTGACCCAAGGCTGCTGGAGTCGCTCAAGCCCATGTTGCTGACGGAATTCGACAAGGCACGGCTGCCACCAAGAGCACCCTGGGTTTGGTGCTGGTGGTGGAGCAAGTTCTGATTGACCAAACTCCCCTGGTTAGGTTGGGCAGCAAAGGACATCATTGGGTCATTGCGAAGCATCACGTTCCGGCGGGAGTTCTGGGCAGACACAGCGGTGCTGGCCTGAGACATCAAGGGGTCTGACTGGGTCATCATGACATCGCTGTGACTGAGTGAGTCCGAAGTAAGCAGGTCCTGGAGTGTCTGGTTGCCATAGTGTGACATGGAAGAGAAGGTAGCTGGCTTGTTCTCTTGGATGGTCTGCATGGGAGACTGGCGCAGAGAATTCAGAGACGAGGGTCCAAACACCGTACTGTTAAAGGAGCTGGTTGGAGAGCCCAGGCCGGAGCCCTTGGTGGTGTAGGGGAAGCTAGAGCTCCGCTGCATGAGCCCTCCAGTGGGTGATGGCTGGGATGATGGGAGCGTGATATTATCCAGCAGATCATCCATGAGATTATCAGCCAGCCCATCATTCAGATTCATGGTACCCGCCATGTCGGTGAGCCGTGGCAGCTCCACATTGCATGGCTTGCTTACAGAGGGTGAGAGGCTGGCTGAGTTGCTGTAGAGCATGGGGGAGAGTGGCGCGTCATCATCCTGGACATCATCCAACTCTGTGCTCGCCAGGATGGGTGACAGGCGGCCACTGACCGTGCTGGCATTGGAATTGGTTCGTGAGCGGAAGTCGGTCCAAGCATCCAACTCATCACTGCTGCGGGAGGTGGGGCTGCCAGGCCACTTGGAGAGCTGGGAGGGACTGTCATCTGCTGACTCGGGGGCTGTCTGCAGGGCTGCCTTCTTCTTGGCTGCACGGCCACGGCTCTTGGTGTACTTGTTGCTGTTGTCCATGGAGACAGCCCGCCGTCGGGGTGCCTTCCCACTCTTCCCTCCATCAGGGTTGATGATCCACCAGGAGCTCTTGCCAGTTCCCTCATTCTGGACCCGCATGAACCGGCTGTGCAGCGACAGGTTGTGCCGGATGGAATTCTGCAGAGAGAGAAGGAAAAATTGAAGACTATGAGCCAGGATGGTCCAAATGTGAGCACCTAGAAAAACAGTTAATCAGGTAACTAATTTTTTTAATAGGCTCCTTTAGTTTTCCAAGGCTTAAAAAAATTTGCATGACCCTTCTTGGCTCAGAATTAAATGGCAACACATCAGTGGCAGGTTTCATATCTAGGAACTGGAAAATGGCATCATATCTGGGAGACATGGGAATATATAAACTCACTGACATTGTTTTTCCCAAATTCCTGTGTTGCTGTCCTTTCTGTAATTATAATTCCCATACTGAAGGTCACATTTGTAAGTGAGTACCATATCACTTTCTCCCTGTACTTTGCAACAAACATTCCTGGCTTTCTAAGGGTAATTAATCATCTGGAGGGGGACTCTTTTCATGGCACCCTCTCCCACTAATGGGAAGCATCATCAACCTTTTCCTAACCATGTCTACTAACTCAGAACTGGTGTGGATTTTTAGCTGTCCTTTCTATGGCTCCATCTCCTCCTGCTACAATATCTGTATAGCAGGCATCAGAAAAAAAGAAGGAAAAAAGGGGGAGAGTAGGATTTGCTGAGTTGACAGAAGCAGGTAAGTCAGAAAAATTCTACCTAATTTATACTGATACTCCCTCCTCTTAAGGCATATGGTCTGAGCATAGTAACTTCCTTCTAAGGAACACAATATGGAAACGGGAAAAGCTTACAGTGGTGAAACCTGGCAAACAGCTTCAAGCCAGATGATCAGGGCAACATCAACAGGGGTAAATCATGTTAATAGTATGTACTCTTGATATGATGTGATGAAATACGGCACCTTGCTCTATGGTCTTCCATCACCTCAGTTTAATCATGAGAAAAACAACAGACATTCCCAATTAAGGGACATTTTTAATATGCCTGTTCAATGTTCCTTAAAACTATCACATGCTCTATCAAAAGAGCCATGAGGAGCTTAAGGAGACATGATTGCCTGTTTTCAAATGCAATGTGGTATCCTGGATGGGATGTGGAAACAGAAAAAGGACAACAGGGAAAAATAAGGAAATCTGAATGAAGTAGGGACATAGTTAATACTAATGTATCACTATAGGTTCATTAGTTGAAACAATCACTATAAGATATAACAAGAGATGGTATAAGAGAACTCTCTGGACTAGATTTATAACGTCTGTGTAATTGAAAACTATTCTAAAATAAAAAGTTTATTAAAGAAAAAGTAATAGGGCAAAATATTCTCAAAATCTTAATGTCTATACTCATTTTTCAGAATCCTGATTAGTAGATAAACCCAGCTGACAGGAATGACCCAGATCCAGTCCCACCATTGCCATTAACCAAGCATGTGAATGTGAGCAAATCTTTGAATTGGTTTATAACAACTTCAATTCTTCATCCTCATTATAGCCATCACGACATTTAAAATATACCTCCCTGACAAGGATGATATATGATAATGTACATCTGGAGTCAGTCACACTACAAGTGAGGCGTTCTCACTGCTATTATAAGGCAGAGTCCATGGTGGAGAGAGCTCAGTGCCGAGAGTATAGATTCAGTCTGGTCTGTAATGCTTCATAAACAGTAATAGAGAAGAGATGATGATAGTCCCCATATCTGGAACAGCAGATCTGCAGGCCAGATAACTTTTTATTTGCAAGTTAAAGACAAAAGATAGTGTCTGATTCTGTATATTAAATATTAACCATCCTAAATGTTAGTTTTTTTTTTTTAAATTGGCAATCACCAACTGTATTTATGTAAAAGATACAAATACATGTGTTCTACCAGAATGTTTAAAAAACAGAGAGTCAGTGGGATTCTGCCATAAGTAAATAACCCAAAATACTCACAATGTTTGCCATGCATGTTTCTATGCAAGAAGGGACCTCAGTTTAGGCTGGGCAAAAATCAGCATCTCTACAATTGCCATAAGGCGCATCTGAAGATGCAAAGAAGAAAACAGACAACATGCTAGGTATATGATGAAACAATGTTGCCCAGGATATATAACTGTGTCCCATTCACTCTTTCATTTTTAATTTTTTAAAAAGATATATTTTATTTATTTATGCATACAAGAACTGGGGTGTAGGCCACAGATGTGGGTGTGGGGAATGAGAAGATTCACTAGAGACAGAGAGGGGAGCAGAACAGGCAGACTGACTGAAATACACTGCTAGGGGGAGCAGCAGGTGAGACAGGAGAGGTCTGCTGCCCCATGTGGGTTAGCTCCCTGGCCAGGATTGAACTTATAAAGTAGTAGCTGGCGATAGCCTGATAGCATTGAGACGTTAACCTCTGTGCCATAAGGGAGGCCTCTTTTTCATTCTTTTAAAAGAATAATGGCATAGTTAACTAATAATTCAGAAAACACATTTCGTGAAAAAGTAAAACATTTTCTCTATGATATAGATACGAAACATGCTTTTAAAATTCACTCTGCATGATTCAAAAAGCAAGCAAGTACAAGGTAGTTCTACTGAGTACTCAGATGATTAGATATATAAAACAAAAACTTAGAGCAAGCTACCTGGTGAAAAACAGGAAGGTCCTGAGGCAAGAGGGACACTGGTCAGAGCTTCAAATTTTGCTCTAGATTTTGTAGAGTTCACACTAATATCCAGAATTAACAGAGACCAATCATAAGCATCCAGTTATACATACCCCCTTTAAAAAACATTTAGGGTATAGACTGGGGGAAAAAAAAAACCCAAATTTTACAAATTTCTAAAATGCCTTATATGGATTTTTGTGTAGTTGTCTATTACTGTAACTCTAAACCCCAACAATGTATGTGCGTAATTTTACAAAATTAAAAGCTACAGAAATTAAGCTTCTGTAAGGCCTTGTGTAAAGGAGCTAGAATACCCACTTCTAGGACTGGAACCACATGGGATCAGGGTCCAAGGTCCTAATTGCTAGGCTGAAGAATTAAGAACCAAGCCAATTACAGCACTGTCTGTTACTGGGCTATAGGTTTTTGATTCATTGTCTCTAACCGCCGTAACAAACCTGAAAAGCTGGTATCAGTGCCCTCATCATATATATATGAAGGCTGAGAGAGATTAAATAACGTACATAAGACCACACAGTTATATCTCTACAAAAACTAAAACTGAAATTTGGTTTCTCATCTCCAAACCAATGCTTTCTACAACTCTCATAGGTCTGTCACCAAAGTCTTTATAAGTCATCATTTAATCAGCTAGCCTATCTGTACTAACATTTCAAGAAAAACTTCTAAAAGGATACTAAAGCACAGTCTTATCACTGTAACTCTATTTATGAAATAGGGGTAATAATTTGGGGGGGCCTTTCGTAAAATTAAAAAAAAAATTTTAAAAAAGACAGTCTGCCTTTCAGAAGACACAAACCTGGTAAAGGATTATTATAGCACAAGCTTGTGTGTCCTGAGTCGGCCAACACTGCATTCATTCTAAGGAGAGAATAGTGGATGCTGTCACACAAACCAATGCTAACTCCCTCAGATTCCAAAACGAAACCCCACTTACTAAGTGGGTAATAGTTTCAGAGTCCGATCTTCACTCAGCTCTCATTTTTGAGGTTACTCGTGGCAGAATGCATTCCCTAAGGCATACTGCCTACACAATACCTGGGCAGGTTTTTTTTCCAGTAATATTATGAAGACAATACACACGCCCAAAAATGTGCCAACACTATCCTCATATCATAGTCCTCCATCCCAGCAACCTTCTATCCATATAGGCTGATTGGTCACCATTTATAAAATCCTGAGCTGGGACATCACAGATGAAGGGGGAGCACAGAAAAAGGCCAAAAACTATGGTCCCTCTGTTCAACCCCAGTTCAAATGTGCACTCGCTTTGCCAGGGTCAGATGCCAGAAATATACTCTGCTATGTTCCTCACAGATCCTAATTCTAATCACTGATATCCTGATCTAAATTTCAGTAAAGCAGGAAAAGGTAAAAAAATGACAGAAATGTTATGTTTTCTCATAAATTCCCTGAAAATGAAAGTTAAAGAATAAGATTTCCATAAGATTTCAAACTATTCCTCTCTCACCTCAATATCCCAGGCATGAAGAAATAGAATTTATAGAAAGACAAGTCAATTGCAAAATCCACTTATGATTTATTGTTTTAAGTTCTTTATCTAAAGAACACTCCAGTGCACTGTTTATTTAAAAATATAAAATTATTGGGCCTCCCCGGTGGCGCAGCGGTTGAGCGCTGGGTTGCGAAGCTGCGCGCGGCCTCTGCGGCGCCGGTTCGATCCCCGGCTGCTCCCCAGCCACCGGAGGAGGGTCCCACATGGCGCGCAGACCTCTCCTGCCGCCCGCTGCTCCCCTCAGCAGTGTACTTCGGTCCTTCTGCCTGCTCTGCTCCCCGCTCTGGCTCTGGTGAATTCTCTCGCCCTCCCGCGCTTCTGACTGTACCCAGTGCATGTATAAACAAAACAAACAAAGAAACCAGCAAACAAATAAATAAAGCATGCCTCTATAAAAAAAAAAAAAAAAAAAAAAATAAAATTATTAAAATTGTTCCATGGTTCTCCATTAATTCATATATAATCTTACCAAAACAGTATAAATTTCTAATACGTTTTATTAATTTGGGGGTTGGGGAAGAAAGGTAAAGGAGGAATGGTGTGACAGAAGTAGAATGATTTTTCTAATCACATAAATACACATTTTGAAATACCTTGTGAAGGAGGCTAATATTAACCGGTGGAGGTACTTGGAATGTGGTTATGGTTACATCCCTATGGTGATAAGGAAAATATCACCAAGGAGGTCTCCGACTGTTAGAGCTCAGGGCATTCTGTCATAACATCTAGTTGCTAAGAGAGCCAAGCAGATACTATGATCCCAACCTAAAGCCATGTGAACAGTTCAGGTTATTTGAATCCATTACTGAGAAATCAAGATGCGGATGAATTACTGGAAAGCAAATATCTCTAGAAAGAAATTTTAGTGTCAGGTACAAATACACCAGTTTTTCTTCAACTTGGGCCAGACTTAAAGAACTCTTAAAGCAACTCTATCACAATGTGCCTGAAGAGTAGAGACAATATCCATCTCATTTTTTCATCAATCTCCCCTTTTACAAAATGATTTATACTGCAGCAAGTCCTGTGTAGGGGCAGAAGCTCTTTAGGTATAGTTAGTAACAATACTGTTGAGCCTGTGTCCTGTGACCGCAGCTGCAATTAGTGTCCTAATCCTTCAAAGAGGCATGTGCGGTAGGGAACTCACATTCAGTTGTGCTATGGTCCTAACAGCTACAGCCTAGAGAACCTGTGCTTCTCCTCCCCAAAGAAATTAGCATAAAGATGACTGCCCCCAGAAACTAGTAATTATTTTTCTTGCTATATTGAAGACAGTCTTCTACTGCAAGATACATTTAATTGTTTACTGGGAAAGTATACATGGCCATTACATACAGACTAAATGTGAGGACAATGGAACCAGATTAGGTGTCTGATCCTGAAATTAAAAAAAAATTCCACCAATATTTTACACAAAGGCATAAATTCATACATTCAATTTAAGGTGGCCAATAGAGGGAGGCTGGGAGATGGCGAAGGAAGAACACAGGCTGATATCAGCCAGGTTCAAAGTAAAATCCAGGTACTGGTGTTTGTCCCATGTCCTTAGGGAATTTATTTAATCCAGGCTGTCCCCTTCATAAAATAGTATAAAAACACCCTATCTGCCTAACTCTAGGATCTTTGGGAAGATTAAATGAAATTAGGCATACAAAGCACTCATCAGAGAGCCAAGCACAAAAGAGGCTCTCAACTGTCAGATCCCACACACGAAAGCAGTGACATCACAAAGGTTCACTTACTGTTTTCCGAGCATCATTCTTTAAGCCAAAAGGTAAGAGGGCAGTTCCTTCCAGGGAAAGATTTCAAACTCTTAAAAGTATTTCAGAGGTGCTATGCCAGTCAGGAGTATAACTGGTTATTTCTTAACTTGTTGCTACCCTATGTCCACTTCAACCCCTTCCAAAGCATGTTTACCTTGTGGAGACTGTCCACTAACCCAGACACCAGCTGCATGTGCTTCCCCTGGAGCACAGAGAGGGTTTTGTCTGGAAGCAACATGTGGTATCAATTTATCCTTCTCAGCAACAGCAACAAGGAATCCACTAATTTTAAAAATAAAAAGGGAGTTGTGTAATTTAACTCTTAAAAGCCTGGCCTTTTTTTTTTTTTTTTTAATGGTAAATTTAGGTTTCGGTGTTTTTCTTTTTTTTTCTTTTGCGATAAAACATTGGTTAATACTGTATATAATTTAAGGGAACAGGTTCACAACTCCTCAGATATATGTTACCATACTACACCCACCATCAAAGTACCCATAATTCTTTATGATACACCGCTGGTCACCCCCTCACCCCTACCTCCTAGTTCCCAACCCCACCACCCTCTCCCTCTAGCAGCCTCAAGTCTCAGCATTTTAAAAAGACAGCCCCTCCCTCTTCATCCTTCCATCCCCCAACTCTCAAAAGCAGCAAAATAAGAGTTAAGGGTTTTTTTTTTTTTTTAAGATTTATTTATTTATGATTATAAGAACTGGGGTACAGGCCAGAGGTGCAAGAGGTAAGAGGATTCACCAAAGACAGAGCAGAGAACAGAAGAGATAGACAGACCGAAGTACACTGCTGAGGGGAGCAGTGGGCGAGCCAGGGGAGGTCTGCTGTGCCATGTGGGTAGCTCCCTGCCCGGGGATTGAACTAGCGCTGCGGAGGCTGCGGACAGCTTCACAGCACTGCACTCAACCCCTTGTGCCACTAGGGAGGCCCAAGATTTATGGTTATTAAACGCCAAGTCAGACCCACTGTTTTCCGCCGGGTATATTTCAGGTGTCTCCCTGGTCCCGATGAGGGATTTCTGTGGGATGATGTGTAAAAGACTGCCTTTATGACAGTAGTCATCTACTTTGCCTTATACGAGACAGCATTTCAAGTAGGTCTCACTGCTTTGACTTGTGGGCAGTGGCAATTCAGAGTGAGGCTACAAAATGCCTGAATTTTAATATAGGCATCTGCTGAACTGGAGATGATAATGTCAAGGAAAAGGCCAGTGGAAATCATGCAGGAGTCATAGGAGGCCCTGGGACTGTGTGCCACAGCAAAGCAACGCAAAGATACAGCTTCAAGAGAGAAAAACTGATTTATAGTGTCAGGTTCTTTCAAAGGCAGCTCTCTGGACAGATCCTGATTTCTCTTAAGTATTAGGTCTTCACCAGGGCTGCCCATTAGAATCACCTGGGGAGACTTTAGACACACCTCACTCCTGGAGACTGATTCAATTCGTATGGGTTGAGGGGGAAAGAGGCCTTTTTAAAGCTCCACAGATTATTCTAGTGTGCAATTAGAGCTGAGTACCACTGGAATTTTCCCCCTTACATTTCCAATGACTGAGAATCTGATTCCAGGTTAGTGATTCTTAGTCTTCCCAGGTCTGGAAACACAGTTACTGTTCTTTAAGTCCGAGTTTCCACCATTTAGAAAATAAAAAAGATATGATTATATGTGCAGGGTAATATGGAGAGTTAGAACATTTTTTTCAGATCACTTTTTTTTCTGGAGGAAAAAAGCAAGGGGGAGGGGGATGGGTCTTTGACCTTGCACTGCTGGTGGACAGACATCTCATTCTGCCCTGTGCCAGTTCTTCACCCAGAATACAGAAAAGAGGACAGGTAGACTTTCACAAAACCAGTAATCGATACAGGCAAAAGAAGGGATGAGCTGGGACAGGAATTAATCCCTATAATTTTCAGAAGCCTCTTGAATTATCATGCAATCTTATATGATCCCTTTTATAAACTGCCCTTCAAATGAAACACCAAAAAAGACAGATTGGGTAAAAACAGCCACTGAAACAAGTCATAGCCGAATCCTGAAGTACTTATCAGCTTCTATTGATAATACAGCAAAGTATTACTTAATAAATTTCCCTAAGAACCCAAGTACAAGTACATAGTAAGATAATGTCAGGATTATTAACAACCAAATATTCTGTTCCTCACCCCTTCACTGAGCAAAACACTACATCATTGTACTCAGTGCAAAGATCCTTGGATGGACCCTGTAAAGGTCCAAGTAGTGGCACCATCAAGGGAGAAGAAACATGGCTGGTCCTCTTAGGAGACATTGCTAGTCTAAGTTTTAGCTGGCTTGTCCTCTTTCACAAGATTTTACCTGCTTTAGAGTTAACTTGTAATTCAAAAGCAAGTTCAATTGTGTAAAACAGGCCTAAAATCAGAAACATTTATTACTTTGGACTATACGGACTATCAGCTGTAATAGCCAAGCAAGTCCTTCAGACAGAGAAGAAAACTTAAATAAACACATAAAGTATTGCACAATCAACCCTGATGTGTAAGACGAGTTCCAGGCTAGTCCCACTCTTATTCTTGTCTAAAGCACTGAAAGCTTAAGCCATTAAGGGACTTATTTTTAAAAGACGACGTTCTAAAATAAATATTGTCGGGAACTTGGCTGAAGGATTAAATTTCCAGCTAGAAACAAGATTTCCGTTCAATTTGCTGACAATAATCCTCTACCCACAGAGATTTCCTTTGAAAACTAACATTTGTTTCAAGTTTTCATGCAGTAAGCAACAGGTTCTGGTCTCTTACCAGGAGGAGCAAAAATAAAAATAATAGTAAATAATAATAATCTGGTGAAGAGCAAAAGGAACCTACTTTCTGTGCAAACGAAATGAGACATGAGTCTTAGGAGAATGAAGAGCTGAACAAACAATCTAATCTGCCCCGCCCTCAACTGAAAAAGAAATCCTAGATGGGGAAATAAAGTTTTTGTTCGAGTGAAAAAGATGGCCACCACTGTGTTACAGACAACGTTGCTAGAATTTTTAGTGTGGGCTTTATTTTCATATTAATTTTTTTTATTTTCTTCATTTAGCAATCTTCTTTTCAAGCTCTTCCACAGCTGTTTCTGCTCTTGGAGGGCAAGAGGGAACATTCCATTCCTCACAGCCAAACCTGCACTTCCGGCACACAGAGAACCCTGGCAGCTTTGCAACCTCTGCCCACACCCACTCCCTGCAGCACCCTGTCCCTCCCCCCCAACCTTCCACGTCCAGCCCCACATCCTTCTCCCCACAGACTAAGGAAGCAGCAGCTAAGGGTAGGCAGTCCAAGGAACACAGACACCAGAAAGCTGGCCAAAGCTGGAGCTTTTGACCACCCCTACCCTCTTTCTCCAACTTCTTCCCTGATGTTACTGAATCCACTTCCCCTTCCCTCAAGGGCTTAGCACACACATGCTACTTCAATTCTCTTTTAAGACCATGGACTGCTAGCCATAAGAATTGGGCACTTCAAGGGGTTCAAGTCACGAAGTTACAGAACATCCTTGATACTAGTGACTCTGCAGAGTAAAACTGAGAAAGTTTTGTTACTAACACAATTTTCACTGATGAAAAAAAATAAAGCTGCAAGTTTTTCCAATTTGAAACTTACTGTGGGTGGCAAGAGAGAGAATTAAAAGGGCATCAGAAATACATATCCAGAATTCAGAATACATCAGAGAGTTTAGAATAACTTTCATGGCATTAGGTAAATGATGAGAGTAGGAACTTCAGTAAAAAGCAATACTGGGGGAAGTGGAGGTGGATGAGAAACCCATCAGTAACAAGCAGTATTGACTTTACAGAGAAAGAAAGTGAGCAGCTGAAATACAGGGCATACCTATATATTCCCTGCATAATGGAAATTCAATCAGCTAGTAAGTGGCAGCTAAGTTGAGACAAACCCCCAGATCTCCTGGCCTTGAAAGGTAGCAACAATACCACACAGAAACAGAATATTAGTCCCAGTGTGTGAATTACCACACACTAATTAAAGTGATGAAGTACATGGAGCACAACGGATGGTTAATTTCCTTCTTTCCCTTCTTCCCTCCAACTTCGGTCTTGATTTACAATTCAAGAAATCGAAGTCTGTCTCCTCTGTCATACTGAGCTCTTCAAAATCAGACACCATGACTTATAACTTTAGTACCTAGTGTGGGGCTGCTATATAGTAGGTGAATTAGTGGGAAGGGGCAGTAGTAAAAAGCACACATGAATTATACTTTAAAATAAAATGCACAAAACATGGGGTGAATAAATGATCCCCACTTGAGTGAAGATAGAAATAAGTATTGTAAAATGTGAAGAAGCATCTAGGTTGTTTTAAAGTTGACAAATCTCACCCTTGGGTATTAACTTCAATTATACAATCCAATCTCCAAAAATAAGATGATATATTAATCTAACAGGTAGGCTTAAGCGTCTTGACAATAAGGGATAATAAAAGCAAGGCTACCTGATGAAACAAGGGGTTGGCAGAGTGCTCAAAGGATGATCCAGGAGTAAGAGCTTATCTACTTACCTTGGGATGCCATGGGACCCTCACTATTACTTGGAAATGCAGCTGGCGTAAAGCCCTTAGAAGCATATACAAAACTACAGATAACAAGAGAAATACAAATAGAGCCTCTTTCACCTGCAATTTGAAGAAACTTAATGTATTTGTTGCCTACCAGGGCAATGCTTTCCACTTGACAAATCTCATTTTATTTTCACAAGCCTTTTGGAAGGAAACTGAGGTGCCAACAGTTAAGTAACTTGCTTGGTAGGTAGTGGTGCTAGAAATCAAGCCTGTGGCTAACACCAGAAAAGAGCCTTCACCACCTTCACTCCCTATGAAGTTATCAAACTGCCTAATGAGAAAAGCACCATTAGTAAGTGACCAAGGAACATGAAGCTTTAAAAACTACAAAAATCCATATTATTGAATTGAATGTTCCATCTCTAAATTTCTGCATATAGAACCTAGGATTAGGAAAGGAAGGTTGAAGGTAGAAAATGACTAGCCATAAAATAAGCCTTGTTGGAATCAGATCATTTTTAAATATGACCCCCCCCTCCACACACACACCAAAGGGGTACTACTGGAGTGTCCTAACCTGACCTGGAACCACCACTTACAGGGAACAACCAAACATGATCACAGCCATAATCATTAAGTACCCAGGCCTTCCTCAGTGGCACATCTGGCTTCTGTGTTCAGGGAGCATGAACCCGTGACTGAGTCCAGCCAGTATTACCTGGCTGTCCCTGGCAGGTTTATTCAGGCCCTCAACAAGCTGGCACCATGCTATGGGTCCTCAAGCCAGAGACATCAGGCAAATGTCTGCATTGTCCTGGACCTTGCTATTAAGAAGCTTAATCTGAAACAGGGACTCAGCTCTATACTATTTAAAACATGTAATTAGCTTATTATTGAGCCAGAGAAGATTAGCTTGCTTTAAAACTATGTGAATTTTTAAAATATGATGCCTTTTGTCTGCCAACTGACAAAGTGATCAGGATGCTTCTGTTTAACCTCAGTCAAAAATTCTGGTAGAAAGCAGCTTTAAGGTTGCATGTGCATGCTATTTTATTATTTGTCTTCTGGCATCAAAACCTGCAGAAGCAGAAATCACTGACAATGCAAGCACATTAAGGGGATGGATGTGGAGGTGCTGAGTGGGTGAGTTAAACAGCTTGAGAGTCTGATATCTGAAATCCAGGAAAACTGCTTTTCTCTTCTTAGTTTACAATCCCTTCCTTCACATGAAATTCACTGGCTTTCGCATCACACATATAAACATTGACTGTTTCCAGCTCTTCAGATGTTATGGCTCAGAAAAATTGTTCTTTTTTGTCTTGTTATTTCAAGAGCAACCAATTTCTTCTTGGTAGCTCTGAAATATATGCCAGCATGTGGGCACAGTCACACAGCTACGCACAGGCCCACACCCTGGAAAGCCTGGGAGGGGTGGAGGCACATTTTTCAGCCAGGGAAGAAAACGTTTGGCCTGGTATTTACAAAACAGACATTTGTGTATGCATTTGGAAACAGTGTATCTTCCAAATGTCAGCACTAATAATTCTAACAGTCATCAAAAATCAAGGTATTACTGGTGAAAAGCAGAAAAAGAAAATACCACATAATAGAATATCTCACGTTGGCCACTGCAAAACAAAAATGATACTTTTTCTTTATGGGAATAAAGAATACAGCAGTCAGTTCTGTTCTGCACACTGACTCAGGCCTACAGGTACCCTCTTTCTCATCCACACTCTAGTGAAATTCAGCTAATAAGGAGCTTCCTGAGGAACTGCTTTCCCTACCCTACAACCTCACCTGCAATTGCAGCATTTCCCTATACTGGTTTTGCAGGATTTTTGTTTAAAATCACAGGATGCAAAAGTGGCTGATGACCAATATGATATTACTAAATACGCAGTGAATCAATCATTATTCTAGGACACTCCTGGGTGCAAATTACATGTAGAGATGAACAGCAGACAGTTCAAAAGTCCATGTAAAGCGATGAAATAAAGAGAGGACATTTCTACTAACTAAAGAACCAGACACATTTCCACTATTCTGAAGGAAAAAAAAAAATACATTTAATTCTTCAGAGATCAGTGTATTCTAACTGAAAATGTAGCATGTTCCAAGTGTGTCAGGTAATGTATGAGCTCTGCCCCTTTTCCCCAACGCTGATTAATGAAACTACTGAGTGTGCATGGGTTAACTCACAGTTTTTCTAAAGGCCACAACAGGAATGCAATATTTTAGTACCAATATGCATTAGGCTGTAATATATTTCATGTACACTGATAGGTAAAGAAGGCACTTAAGAAACAGGAAACACTAGCATTAGTAGAGTAGAATCTTTCACCCAAGCGGCAAGAGGATAGTATAACTGGCAAAAGTAGTTATATAGCGACACTAAGATTTCGTCAGAAAAGACTATGAATAGTATGGTCTAAGTTGGGGGTGAGCCTACTCCTCAATCAGCAAGTGTCACAGTGAGCATGACCCAGTGGTCCCCAGACACTAGGCGTCAATGATTCCAAGATCATTTCCAACGATGCAGGCTCTCTGGCCTCATAACTACCTCCCTGGTTGAGTCTGATGGAGTAGGTATAGCCTTAAGATTCTCTCCCACAACTTCCTAGAGTTCATCATCAGGGCTTCTGAAGGTTTTTAGGCCCCCGTCCCCCTTAATCAGATTATCCATTTGCTAACAGAAAATGTGTGGGAGCTCACAGCGTGAGCAGGTATGTCTTTCCCAAAAGCTTAACCAATGATTGTACATACAGAGACTGCTGAGATTAATTAGTTTCCATCAAGACAAGGGAGGAAAGAAACACACAGCAACAGATGTTGCTAGGCCATTTTCAGGTTCAAAGGTAGCTTTAAGCAATATACTTCCAACTCTCTGAGGCATTATGTGGAATACTACCATCTTATATTAGCTGTTTCTCCTAAACAAGTACATCAGGTTCATTCAAACAGCGATGACATCAGCAGTCTTCCCAAGTAAGATAGACTAGTCCTAATGTTAATTTGTGGACAGAAACAAAATCACACTAGCTTATAAATTTAACAAATCCAGGATGGGTGGCAATCCTCTATGGGAAGCTGGTGTTTCTGTAAGTATTGCAAGCGAAATACTAATGGTCCTTTGTTCTGGATTATCTTACAAGGATGTTTTATTTGCATAATAAGCAACCCTGAAAGATGTGTCTCCCTCTAGAGCAAAGGGCAGTGGTGCTTAATGCCCATTACAAAAAATTTAGGATTCCTAAACTCAGGGTTTCTTCTCCTTTAACATACCCACTGCAGGTGCAGGAATCAACCTGCGTCCCTCTGTGTCACACCTGTGGGATTTGGAACAAGGAGAACTGATACAAAGTATACTGTTGCTTATGCTGCTAGTGCCACAAGTGTGTAACGAATTCCTTTGCCTCCAACCTAAGAGTCTGCAGACCAATAGAGTCAAATCACAGACATCTGCGGTTCTTGACAGCTCACTGCTTTAGCTTACAAAATGCCGATAGATCCCTAACAGTAAAAGACAAAACTAAGCTTTTTCTCCACCCCTATATCAATGAAAAGGAACATAAGCCAATGGGATGAAGGAGGAAAATGAGGTCACAAGTAGGAAAGGCACACACACATGGCTCCAGCATTTTGAATGTTCTGACTTGGCTCTGCTGAAGACCCCATGTGGCTTTATAAAAACAAACCATTAATAAAAGAGGAGGGGAAGGGGGAAAGAGAAGCTCCCTGATAGTCACTTTGCAGTGTCATCTGGATTGATCACCATCTTCTCAGCTGTTGCTCAATGCCATGGTTTGCTTATGAGGGGCAGAGCTGGTGAGCAGCAGGTTAGGTTTATTTCTTCTTGCCTTCCTCTTCTACCACACGAGAGCAGACTGCATATGTCCACCGCTCCCCATCTCCTTGACAACCTACTACTTATTGCATGGGGGCTCTTAGCATCATTTGTTGAGTTTCTGCAGGGTGCAGATTTCCATCATGGAGTCCTTGGGCCATTCCTAGAGGGAAGAATTTCTCTTTAATCCTTTTGTTTATAGGCTATCCCAAATTTAACCCTGGTGGAAATGCTCTGGTCCTTCTCCTTGCTACAGTAACTTTGTCATTGTAAAATGTCCTGTATGGAGAAGTTCAGGCTTTCCTTCTTCCATGTTTAGCTACCACATTCATTTTCTTCATTCCTCATAGTATATAGCAACTTTAGACCTGCAAATAGGAAGACATACTAGGCAGAGCCCATAAACCAAGAGCAAACACATGCATCTACACATTTATATACTCTCTCCAAGTTTCTAAAAGAGGAGAGTAATTTTCTACCTTATTAAATATGAACCAGGAGCCTTTACTGTAAAATGTAAAAATCTTACAAGACTTCAAGCTCTACGGTCGTTAACTAACTGATTTAAACCAGACATGTTCTGGTACATAGGAAATTGGTATTTTCTTTTCCCGCCCCCTTCCTTTGGATAATCTACTTCCATTCTTGGCAAAAAGAGGCATATATTTACTATAGTATTCACATGCACCTACACGTCCAATGCCTTTGGAATGATACTGGATTGCTGCCACAAGACCAAATAACATGCTCTTTGAGAAATAATTATCAATTAGAGAGTTATAAAATGGGCTAGCAGGTCTACTTTACTCACATTGTGTGGTATTTTGGCCACCAAACACAAGCTTTCTTTGGTTACTCTTTACATCAATCAGAAAATTATGTTAATTTGCTGTGATACTATTTGTGGATATACATGGAAAAGAGTGCAGACACCCAGGAGTAAATTAGAGTCAACTCACTCCACTTTGGCAGCAGATCCCTGTACACGTATTCCAGATACTAATACACAGAGACCACAGCCTAGGCTGGGTGACTAGGGCTACATTAAAAAAAAAAAAAAAAAAGAACTATTAGCAACAACAAGCAAGTAATCAATTTTTAGTGCTTTCAGACTAGAGTAGCTGCCAAAAGAATTTAGCAAAAGCCATCATTTTAAAAATACCAGTTAAGTTACAGTGAGATATTCTTACTATAGTAAATAGGTTTTACTTTGCTTAAATCTATATGAGGTCCAAAAAGATAGAAAAAAATTAATAAATGCTTAAAATTTATACAGCACTTGGGCATTTGAAAAGTCCTATAGCTTTTTCTGTCATTCCTGATGGCTCTTTTATGTGGTATTTTTTTCAGTGATGAATATTAAAATATTTCAGAGGAGAGGTACATTATGAATATGAAGTCATAAGATAAAAGACAAATGGAAAGAATCAAATTGCCCCCCAAAAAGCACAACTATATCTCTTTTTCTGTGTGCTTGACACATGAAACTCTCAACACATTTTTTTAAAGACAAATTAACTCCTCCCTTTATTTTCTCTTTTGAACTAGACCATGCTGAATAAGGTTGGCATCCACAAGAAAACCCAGCACTAATGAAATAAGTACACCCTTTTCACAGGTTCTCCATCTCCCAGGAAATTCACCTTTAGCACTAAAAGTCTCAGTAAGTATAAAGTATCAGATTTAAGAAAGTTGTCCATGTTGAACTTCAGAAGCATTTAAAAGCTTAAATGTGGATACTATTCATTTTATTAGGAATCATACTCATGCTTCAAGTAGACTGACTACATAATACAAATACAGTAGGAGAGAACATTTAATCTTTAATTAAGATTCAGGATTTTTTTTGGTAACTGGGAAAATAAATATTTGAATTAATTGTCAAAAATATTAAGTGGGTACAAACATAAAAAACATATCAACTGCTATTGATATTAAAAACATACATAACCTTTGACTTAGTGGAAAGACTACTTTGTTCTCTTCTCCTTACTAACAGAATGTTTATGTTTACTTGGGCACAGGGCTAAGGAGAAAAAAGAGAAACTAAATTTCCCAGCCAGTTCTAACCAATGACACCTAAGGGAAGAGTTCAAGGACCTTCCAATTAGGACTAAATGAAAACAAAGCCATTCCCAGAAGAAGAAAAGATGGGTGACTTACTCAGGGGAAAGAAGTCACTTAATAACCAATATTTTATATACCTTTTACAGATAAATACTACACAGTTACTCTAAGCCTGTGTGGGTTGAAAGACTTTATTTCAGGATTTAAAATGTTCTTTTCAACATCCTTATACACCTTCTTCATATACTATTGAGTCCACACCAGTAAAGTCTTAGCTCTGCATTAGCCCCAAAGCATCAACATCCCTGTTAAGACAATGAGGTCACTGGACCAGGTCAGCCAACTTCTTTGGTGTCTCCCACGAAACTCCTAGCATAGGGCTGGCCACTTCACCCACAACTCATTTTCATTAAACTGTAACCATCTGCACCCTTCCTTTGTAAAGGATATTTTAAATAGGGAAAAAACAACAACAACAAAAACAGCAACCCCCTTCCAAATCAAAATGAAAGTTTGATGGACTGACAGTTGCTTTAGAAAGTGATTTTATTTGGTTAATATTTTGCCTTTATGTATACATACCCTATATCTAATCATCCCAACTTCCTTTTGCTTAGGATTTAAACAAACTACCCAGCTCCTCCATCCTGATTCCTCCTAGGAAGTAGCATCTGGAATTTACTTCAGTTTTCTGATCATTAGCTTTAATAAGGATCCTATGATTTGAAGGTAAAAAGTGAATAGCACAATTCCATAATACTTTCAGACACAGTGGATAGATCTAGGTGGACAAACGAGGTGGATGCAATAACAGCATCTCCCCTAGCCTCACCTGAATGGCCAGGGCTGGTTTTCTGGAAGGGTCTTACATACATATATACATACATCACATTCAAACATGTACTTCTGGAGGTCGTTCCATGCACCAGCTGTACAAACACAAGAAAACAACTTTGACATGGACCCATGGTCTCATTCATGCATTTTACAATTTTGTGGGGTTAGGGGAAGATAAGGAAGTTTGGGACAGTTATTGATTGAACAAATAGATTTGTGAATAGTGCTTTGAAGGTGAACAGGAGGCCATGAGAGAAAAACAACAGGGTGGATTGGATGGACCTAAGACTTAGAATGGAAAGTCAAGAAAGATGTAAGACCTGTAAGATGAGCAGTCAAATAATGAAAGTCATAGGAGAGGATTCTACCTAGTGAAAAAAAGGAAGAAGAGAAAATCTAGAAATCATACAGCAGAATGGCAGGCAGAATGTGAACAAGAGTCACTGCAGAGGATGGGAGGGTAGTGATCACAGTGCTGAGAACACAGTGCTTTAATGAGGAGGAAGAAGTAACCCTTATAAAAAAGGAGGCGGCGGGGACTGTCTATACATTTTGGCAAAGGTTGCATTGCTGAACTTGGGAACAATAATATGGGGACTGAACGAGGGGTAGATGCCAGCAAGGGAAGATTAATAATAATAAAAAAGCTAACATCTATTGTGTACTTATTATCTACTATGCACTGTTCTAACAATGGGGTTGGTGACAATATTCCCTGTTTTACATAAAAGAATTGAAGCTTGAAGAAATCTACTTAAGACTACATGCTATGTGTTGGAACTCCAGGATCAGAACTCCAGGGGTCTGCCTCCAGAACCCAAATGCTAAGTAGTGAAGGCCTCAGGGGCAAGAGGGAACAAGACCCAGGGCCTGTGTGCATGGAACAGCAGTGTCCTGGTCCATGAGTCACACAAAGGTCTTTCCCAACAGAGTAGATGTGCGTAAGGGATATGAGATTCTACAGGCAGGCTCTTTGGGTACACTGGGGAACAACAGCACAGGATCAGTCTCTCCACTGGGGAAAATTACTATCTAAAAAAATTACTATCTAAGGGATGGTACATCCCAGAATAAATACTTTGACAATTTTGTGCTCCTTTTCCACTAGTCACCAGTGAGAGACCTCTGAAGTTATTTCAACCTAGAGATGAGGCCAGGGACAATCACAGTTGGATTCTAAACCCAAGTCAAGTCTTACCATTCCTGCTCCACTGCCTTAATTTTCCATAGTTCAGCTCTGGACAAGACCACTTTCATTAGGGGGTGGTGTAGGTGGTCGGGTATTCCACTCTCACTGGCTGAGCAGGGACAAAACAAAGCAGAACACACAGGATATGTCCTTTCCTCTTAGAGTTAAGTTAGCAAGGAAAATTGAGCAAGAGAAGAAACTGTTGGAGTGCTGTTAAGCCATCTTTCATTCCATAAACAAACCAACAAAATAGCAACTGTGGATTTCTTCTGAGAGCTGCTCATCTTGCTTTCAAGACCCAGCCATCCGCTGCCTCTCCCCCCACCTAGGAATTGTTTCTAGGCACTTGAAAGGGTGAATGCTAGTTCTGAGGTGACCTCAAAACAAGTCACAGAAGTAAAACTGTGGTCCTCGAGTGGCCTCCCCCTAAGCCTGCCCTGTCCTCATCTTTCTGTCTCCATCCAGCTTACTACATATAAAAAGGTCAAGCCAACCCTCAGTAAAGAATTTACTAATTGTTTATACAGTACAATTACAAGAATGAATGAAAAATGAAGTCATCATCTGTAGAACAGCACTACATAAAAACTGGGGTGAAATTTCCGACTAAAGTTTTCCAGAGAGATTACTGAAAGGTGGAGAAATGAGAGCTTAAAAACCTATTTAACATATTATGAGTTACTTTCTCTGGATGAAAAGTAGAAAGCACACAGAAATTCTTTAACTGGGAAGCTTAGACGCACTTGTCAAAGAATGTGAAATACAGATTATACTCTAAATCTATATAAATGAGTTCAGTATGTCAGAATAAATTAGCTTTACGGGACCACTAATTGGACTTAACTCTACTCAGCTGGACAGGGTCAGACATGCTTACCTGTGATTCTTCCAAGACTTGTCTAAAACAATGCAAACTAAGAGTTAATTTTTCAATGGCTGCTTATGAACCCCTGATCCTTATGTCCCATCCTGTTTGCAATGGGAACAATTATAGTAAGTCACTAAAGACCCCAAAATGGATTAAAGGAAATTATACACTAAATCTATATCAAGCAGTTATTACAACTCTGATTGATACATTAAATGTTATTATTCTAATCAGTACAGGAGAAAAATGGCACAGAGAAATTAAAACGTAATTTTGGAATGGTAAGAGACTTCAGAAAATGATTAACCCAGCGATGTTCAAAGTGCTTAGTAGAGGGGCCTCCCTGGTGGCGCAGAGTTTGTTAAATCTCAGCAATATCAAACTACTGCGAGCCACTGCATGAGTTTGATCCTAGGCCGGGGAGCTAACCCACATGGCAGAGCAAGACCTCTTCTGTCTCTCCCACTGCTCCCCTCAGCAGCGTATTTCAGTAGATCCACCTGTTCTGCTCCCCACTCTGTCTCTGGTGAATCCTCTCATCTTCTGCACCTCTGGCGTAAACCCCAGCTTTTGCATGTATGCATAAATAAAAACAAATCTTAAAAAAATACACAAAGTGCTTAGTGGAGCTATGGAGGTTCTTTAAGACACACGGTAGGGGAAGAAAACTAAGAAATTTTATGTGTCAAAGTTACCAAAGTTGACTGATTTCAAAAGCATTTACAGAAATGATTTAATAGCATTAGTAGGAATGTTTGTTTTTTGCTACTGATGATCAAATATTTTTAAATAATTCAAATTTAAAGGCATCGCAAGGAAACCAAAATTAGCTAAAACAATCCCATCACACTTAAGTACTAATTTTGTTTCTAATCAGTAGTAACTGGAAGCTCAGTATCTACAATTATGCCAACAAGTAGTCGGGCCAAATACAAATTAGTTGAATGAACAGGATCCATCAACTTTATAGAAAAACCTAACATGAGAGGGTAAAATCACTCAAAGCAATAAAAGGGAAGTGCAAAAAGCACTACATGCACTGCATGACTAATAATCCAAATTTCATATTTACTAATTGTATGTAAGAAATTGTGAAGGATCAAAAAAACCCAAGTTGATGAAATATTCTAACATGCAAATATAATAGATGCTAAAAGGTTTACACAAGCAAAAATGACACATGGAAAAAAATCTTAAACATCAGGATAAATGGGAATACATTCACAAGAAATGCTGACATTTTTGTTACCGATGAAGCATATCTTTGCGAATTTCTTTAATATATGTTTGTGGTCTCTGAAAGTATAGCTCATCAATTAATTGTACACTACTGTTAAAGCATACAATGACGTAATACATAGGCCTACATAGGGAAGTATGGCCAAGGCCAGTGGGGCGGGGGGAGGTTAGGGATTTGGAGAAAGGAAGAATCTCCATTTTAATTCAATTGATATGTATTGCTGCCCTGTATTGCTGCCTAAATTATGGCACCTGGAAAATTTTCACTGGACTATCCTAATGCCTACTGTGCTGCAGATAAGCTTTTCAGTCATCCTGCATGTACTTTTCAAAGCCTCTACCCTTCTTATTACCATACAACATCATCTCAAACTTCCTTTCCAATGAAAACAATTTACTTCCTTTTTTCGTGCATCTCTCTGAGAGTAGTGACTCTCTTCCTCTTCATATACCATCACTTCCC